TGCCCGCGGTCTCAGGCGAGTCTACAGGCGATAAAAGCGGTTTTTGTAACGCCTTTAACCCTTACTTTTGACACGCGTCAAAGGTATATTTGATTAGCATCGTCAAATATGTCTGAGATTTGCGCCAAAGGTGTGGGCAAAAAGCGCGGCAAAGTTATTATGTCTAAGATTAAAGTCAAAGGCTTGCCAGAGGTCTGGTTAAATGGCGTTCACCTGAAGCTTAGGTCAAAGCTACGGCAAAAGTGTCGTCAAATATGACTGGAATTCAAGTCAAAAGTTTAAATAAGGTACTGCCAAATATGTTTGTTTTTTTTTTGCTCCCCTCGCATCCCGCTTCTCCCTCGCCTCGCCCTTCGCGCGAATGCGGCGTTATTGCCTCTCTAGGCTCATAATTATAAGCGCTTGATATACAGGCTAGAACCCAACTTGAGGTTTCAGTCAAATTCAATTGCGGCTTGGATACCGTTTAAAATTGTGGGCAGATAAGAGACTGAGTTCTTAATCTTGTAATTTATTGTCGTAAATCATTAGATTAGAAAGCTGAATAATGCCGATTAAAACTTCCTTAAACGCATAGATAAAAATGATTTTTTAAAACCTTTTTACGATTTATTGTCTAAAGTACTTAATGCAGTCAATGAACAATCATAATGACTGCCGGAAATTTTTAAAGCGCTATAACTGTTAGATAAATGCTTTTGTGACGGCGGCAACCTGCAAAATAGTTTAAAACACTTCTTTCACGAAAGTCAGTGCTAAAATCATGGTAAGCATGGGTTACTTTTGATTAGACCTAAGATTATTATTAGCTAGCAACTCTATTAAAGATGTGTTTTAAGCTATTTTTCTTGACCAATGTGATCAAATACGAGTTTCTCACGGAAAACCCTCCAAACAGTATTTTCTCTTGAAAGAGTAAACAATGAAAAATTAGCCAATTCAACAGCAAATGCAAAGCATTATGGGTAAATAACACTAAAAAAACTTGATCAACGTTTTTGAAAACAGGAAAACCAGAAGATCAGGAACCAAAAATGAAGAACAATAATGTAATCTTCTCTACTAGATCAGAGTTATATGTTCTCTTCTTTTCTCCTTATTATTTCTTTCATCATCACCCTTCTGCAAAAAAAAAAAATAAATAAATAAAAATAAAAATTTGGAAATTTCGGTTGGAAGTTAGATAAAGAAGATAAGAGAGGCGTATGTTATGGGGAGGTAGTAGCCTGCGCGTCTGACGTGGAGGAACGGAAAAAGGGAGTGGGGATGGGGAGAGAAGGAAAGGGACTCCCCTTCTCATTCTCCTATCGCGCAATTGCCCTAACCCTGCCCTCCCAATTTTTCTGCCTGCCACTGACTCACGCTAAGGAGCTAGATATGTCGTGTGATACCATCGGTACAACATTTTCTTAAATTATTTTTATATAGTATATTAATACGTGACTGTTCAAAACATATCGATACAACATATTTAAAACAAAGCAAAGCATTGAAGGTACACTATGTTAATAAGTTTGTACATGGTTTGGTTTGAAAATAGTCATCGAGGGGAAGGTTATTTTAACAATTAGTCGGGTGCATTATAATGGCCGTTTCGTTGTGAAGTTGAACTGCGTTGAGAGAAGCTGGCCATTTCAGTACCGAAAGGTCAGGCTGTTTTATGGAATTATTTGATTCAGGGAAGTTTAGAATTGACAGAAGTAAGAATTCGCTCCAAATAAGCAGAAAAGCGTCATAATAGTGAAAATATTGCGGCAAAAAATGTTTCTACATCAATTAAAATAAGTGAATATATATCAACTTACTTTCCTTCCGCACCTTTTCTTTTATCGAAGACCAGCAGTCAGGTTTAGCAGCGTTAAAACAACGCAGTAAAGTAGACCCCCTGTTATTGGATAAACAGACGATATATTATTATATTGTGCCATTATGTAAAATAACAAGTTTGAGTGCTGGCAGACCTTTGGCCAGGAACACACTACGATTTCGGAACCCGTCTTTTTTTTTTTGTTGTTAACCCGTTGTTTACCCGTTTTTGCATAGAAAACACGAACAAAAAAATCGACCGACTTTAAAGTTCGGCCTACTACGAGAACACGCGAAAATATGAGCGCGTGATCTGATAAGGGAAGGCGGTGGAGTTTTTATTAGGCTGATTCAGCAACAGAAAGGGAACGTCTGTTGATGACTGCGCGCGCAAATCAAACAACTGGCTTGACCAATGGCAGAGCGGCAAATTGGGTAGCGGAAGTCGAGTGTAGTCCTTTCCGCGCGCTTTCCCGTCGTCAAATGACGCTCCTGTTCTGTTGCTAAATCAGCCTATTTTCGTGTTCGCGCTTTGTCGATTTCACGGACCTGACCATCTAGGAGCCTGGAACGGGCTAGACCACTTACTAAGGCTGTGTTCATGCTATAGCGGAAAACTTTTCGTACCGACACGAAAATCTATCCAGTATAGCATGAACTTCTATACGATATTTGACTCTCCACTTTAGAAATTCACTCGGTTATGTTCTTATGTGTGAACAGTACCGCTGTTTGGTATGATTTTCGTGCCGCTGCGAAAGCTATCTGGAAAAGTGTGAACATTGCCTAAGAAAATACCATCTCTGCCATCTGCAGCAGTCCTCGTTTAAAGTTTACGTATGGAGGGCAACCGAGAAGCCCTGGGGTCGAGGTTGCGTTTTTTTGGTAGGGCAATACAAAATGGCGGAACATTTCAAAGTCACGTTTTGCGAAGAAGGAATAGCCTATTGAACTGCTGCCTAAAAACATAGCAAGAACAGAAACAATACGAGTCGACGGACATCTGCTATTTGTAGAATTTAAGCAGAACAAAACTCCTTTTTATCTCCTGAACTTTTTAAAAAACAGCCAAAGTTGGAAGACGGGAATTCAACAACATCGATCGGGGCAGGCATGCTTTAGTTTGTTTTAAAACTAGCAATTGTGTTGAATGAATAACGAAACAATTATCACTCTTTGCAGTTTAAACTTAAAATATGCTTCTTCCGACAGGTTTTTTTCAGACGCATTAGAACAGGCTTTCTTTATCGTACTTTGAAGCTGACTGAAGTCTATTGTATTCTTCTGCACCCTAGTCCTAAATTTTTTCAATCAATGACCAAATCAAGGGAGGACCTCCTTGTACAAGCCTTTGGCTGTTTGCGTCTCCTCACCACTCACTGTTTCACTGTTTTTTTTCACTTTCTTTATGACTTGTTTTATGAAAGTGTTCTTGACTTAAACTGTGCATGTATTGTTACGTTATGGTTATTGTTATTCAAGATTAATTAAGATATTATGTATTGTAATTATGGTATTATGAATTTTATCTCAAATTGCATCTAATGCTGTAATCTTAGTAAGAAGTGGTGGTGTAAATAAATAAATGAAATTAATTAATTAATAAAAGATGATACATAACACCAGCAACTGAAGCCTAAAATATGATATGGCTAGTAATTTACCCGAGAGGTCACACAAAAAATGTAAAATTAAAGTAAAAGTACCAAGTGTAACTGTAACAAGTTTAAATTGAATACATACCATCTGTGATGGCTGCTTTTGATGGGACAGTACCTTGAAAAAAGGAATGGCAGATTATTCAAGTTTCAAGAGCTACAAAGAACGCCCCAGTTATGAATTTTTGATTACACGACACCTATCATGCTCCAAAATAACCAGGTAAACGCTAGGTAAACCTCAGTAATGTGATCAAGTGAGGTTGGCCGGTGTATCTATTCTGGACATTCTAGTAAGATATATACAGTGAAACCTCTATTAAGCGGACACCTTCGGGACCTTCCAAAGTGTCCGCTTAATAGAGATAATTTATAAATATTGCGCAATGTTTGTTAAAGATTAACTCTCAACGGTTACTCTGTAATTTGATAAAATTCCATGTTGTTAAGAGAAAGCTAATGAAGCTGTGCTGTTCTTTGTGCAAAATCTTGAGGTGATTTTTGATCGCGGATGACAATCATAGGGCCGGATATCAGTCTAATCTACAGTTTATTGACAGCCAAATGTATTGATTTATCTTTATTAATCGACTACAGTACGTATTTCAGGGACGTAATCCAATTTGGGGAGCAACGGTGGCGCAGTGGTGAGAGCACTCGCCTCCCACTAATTTGGCCCGGGTTCAACTCCCGGCGCCGACGCCATATGTGGGTTAAGTTTGTTGTTGATTCTTTCCCTTACTCCGAGAGGTTTTTCTCCGTGTACTCCGGTTTTCCCCTCTCCTCAAAAACCAACATTTCCAAATTCCAATTCGACCAGGAATCAGGTAGACGAAGAACCAATGCGAGGATGTGCTATACTACTATTGTCAGTTCCGTCCGGTCTCCGCTTAATAGAGGTTTTTAACAATAGAAATTAGCCAAATACCATTTACTTTACTGTCCACGTCCGCTTAATAGAGGTGTCCACTGAATAAGGGTTCGTTATAAGGGGAGACATAAGAAGTTAATTTCGGGAACCGGCTTAGTGTCCGCTTAATAGAGGTTTCACTGTATTCAAAAGATGTTATCTTTGAACAGTGCAATATCAGTATTACAGTGCCTTTGATTTACACCGTTGTGGCCCACGATCAGACCTGTGGGGTGCCTTCCCGTTATATTGTGGAAAATGTTGCTTTACTTTGTGACGTTGCCACCTGTGCTAATGAGCTGAATTTTTTTTTTGTGGCCATTTTGTCTTTGGGCCAAGAGAAAGCCATCGACCGTGTCGATTGGTCCTTCCTTTTGCGTACCCTTTTGTCTCACAGGCACAGGGCTTTCAACTGGTGTGTATTTGGGGTAGCCTGGTTAAATTCGTTTTCCTGCGCATGGATGCAGTTTCTTTGACTGTGCCATTTCCATGCAAGCAATAAAACACCCTGTTGGTAATGTTTTCAAGTCATCAAGCAGTTAAATTAGAGGTTGTAGGGCATCTTTTCTTCGAGAAATGGTGTTTTGGATCGTATTTGAGAGACCAATGGCATTGCAAAATTGGGGAAATTGGGGAAATGGCTTTACAATCGGTGACGCTGAAAATGAAACAAATCCTTAAAATGTCCTATTTTTTGCAGCCTAATGAAGAAAGCTTTGCAAGCATGCATGGTGCCTACAATATTTTTATGCTGGTAAGATTTTGCTTTTCCAGTAAAAAGGGCCATTAAATTAACAATCACTGGGAGGGAGACTGACATTTTTTAGTAGCCAGGTTTAAAAAAAAAAACCACACACACACACACACACACACACACACACACACAAAAACAGGTATATATGAAGGAATTTTCCCTTACCTTTAGTGTACATAATAGTTACATTGACCTGCTGCGGTCCTTTCATCGTCACGGACCTCTGAGAACTTGAGAAAATGACTTGAAATGTTTTGTTGCCTTCAAAGCTGTTATCCATGTTAATGATACCAATTTTAACTTCCTTGTAAATCTCTCCCGGAGCAAATGCCAGTTGCCCCCCAGCGGCAGCCTTGTAGTGTTTGTTTGGTTCCGCTGTCAAGCTTTTCATATCATAGCTTAAGAAAGTACAACACAGACAATAGGTGTAACTATTAATTTAACAAAAATATTCTGTTTCTGACTGGCGCAAATCCCCCGACTGACTCCTCACAACCAGCCAACGTTGACTTAATTTATGAAGACGTTTGCAATATCTGATAAAATGACATCAATGCTACAGGGTCACTGCAGAAAAAGGCACAGAAACCTAGAAGATCTGTGATGAAGTTGCGCTTGCGCGGCTGTCTTGGTTTACGTAGTGCTAGAGAACATAGCGGACAATTTCACACATTTTGCGAAGAAGATAGCAGAACTAATACCTAAAAACATGGCGATAAACAGTAAAAATATAACTCAACGTATGCAAGTGATTTTTGAGCAACATCGGCTGGAGTAAACAATCCCTTTAAATCCGTAATTTGCCAAGCAACAAGCCAATGAAGAGGTAACTTTACATCGCTCGAAGTAAGAATATAAGTTTGTTTCTAATGTATGAATTATTGTGAATCTATAGCAGGGAGTTATTCGTCGAGGCCGACGAATAACTGGTCCCTACGAACTGGATAACTCTTCAGATCATACTCAGTCTCATACAATAATGCTATGAACTCTTAAATTTAAACTTGTCAACCCTCCGTGGGGTAACACGTATATCCTGACCAAATGGGCACCATGCACATGTACTGCCGTACGAACGACAGCAAAACACTGAACACGTTTTAAGGAGCCCCCTCTGACAACGTCCTTATCTATATCAAGCATAAAATCAAACAATTCCAATTTCAGCACTGTAGCACACGTATCAACTCGGCGATATGGCCCGAGTACCTTACGCATGCGCACAACCATATCACCCAGGCAGTGGCAGACATGAACAGCTGTTTAGTCCTCATTAGGACTCATTAGCATAGCATAGCCCCCGGCGAGAGGTCTCACTTATGATCATCCACCTCGCGGAGTTGGTACGTATGCTTCAGTGCTGAAATTGATAACACTGATTAAAACACCTCAGAAAAAATGTATATTCAGTACTTATTTTGAGACTGTTTAGTGATTACATCGGCTAGTCTTTAAACACAGCTCATAAACGTCGACAAAGTTAACCTGGGACCCGGTTCGTTAGTGGGGAAAAAAGGTTCATTTGGTTTTTTCCTCTACCAAAAAGCCTGGTTCGACACTTTAAAAACGTCATTGCCATTTACAAACCACGAACTATACCATAATAAGAATTCACCTCCTTTGGCCGAACCACATTGACTGGACTGGACAGCATGGACTGTTTCAGTACTTACTTCACTGCAGTAGCGATAGCAAGAATTCCCTGACGGCGCATGCGTATCACTGCCATGCCAGCATCTGCTGGTATTATTACTTGAGCTTCCACAATCTCAATTGTGACGTTCTTTGCCTCCATTGCTATTGGCGAAATAAATTGTAGTGAATACATCAATACATTCTAAATTCTCTTGTATAGACCTCTAAGACTCGTTTATCAAACCGATCGAGTCTAGCTTACTAGCCTGCCTACAGCCGCCTCCTCCCCTCAAACATATCAAGCAGAGAGACGTTTATCAGGGTTGCCACTCATCAGAAACTTAAAAATTCCCTGACTTTTCCCTGACTTTTCACTAATCTTTAAACAGCTTTCACTGACCTTTTATTAATGAGAAACAATCAATGTTTACATTCGCTTTAGCTTTTTTTGCAGGCCATCGATATTTTTCTCTTCATTTTCAACCTCTTTCCGCTTTTCGCTGAAAGAGGAAGAAGGAATTTGGAAGAAAGCATTTACAACGACAACCACGGACCACAACTACTACATGTGTCAGGCATAGAGTGTTAAAATTGATCGCTTTCCTTGCTTTGCAGTATACTTTTCATCTTTTCCGAAAGAAAATGCATTTCAAAGTCTTGAAGAAAAGTTATGAACTATAAACCGGAAAACAGAATTCCCTGACTTTTCACGGACCTTGACAATATCAAAGATTTTCGCAGACTTTTTAACAAATTCCCTGACTTTTCCCTGACCTTGAAAACTTTTCGTCTTTCCCCGACTTTTCCCCGACAGTGGCAACCCTACTGGTTTTTGTTTGAGAGAGGCCACGGCTGTACTCGGGCTAACTTAGGCCGCAGTTTGAGAAATAATTGGACTTTCAGATTTCTCCTTAATTAGATGAATTGGTAACTTTAGGGAGATAAATGCTCCATATTATGCTTTTTGAGTGACATGACATTGAACAAATGTGCTGTTATTGAACTTCTAGCGTGGTTACATTGAACTAATGTGTATTCATTGAACTGTATGTTAAAAACTGCAGAGCGGGAAGCCGCGGACTTAATCCCCGTAGCCAGAGAAAGCTAATGCTCTTAGTTTTTAACCAAGGCGGAATGTACTCCCTAACGGGCCCTCTAACAGACATTTGGGTCTGGTGGACTTTTATGCCAGACTAGAAAACCACTTATCTACTTAAAACAAGAGAGGAATCTTAGGGCGTTGGCTGGGTTATGTTAAGTGGTTGTAATAAAACTGAAGCCTAATTCCTGAGACGTCCGCACATTTTTATCGATTGTTTAAAACGTCATCAAGTCCACGGGTGACTGACTGCCTCGCAACAAACAATGCAGAATATTTTAACGGCGACTGTTGAACAAAAGTTTGCGGACCTCTACGGAAACTAACTTCCTATTAATTTCAAGTGTTTAATTGGTCTAAAAATAACTTTGGTGAAATTCATATTTCGTAAGGGCTAGAATGGGCGTTTCTTTCTCTGTCCATTTATTCTGTCTTGCTTAAAACAATTACCCTGCAAAAGGATTTAAGTTATACTTCATTTAATAACCGACCCTTCATCATACCTTCTTTAAAACTCCTGTTCCCAAGTTCTTGAATTTCTTCTACACTCAGCTTAATTCCAATAAAGTTTAGGTTGCTTATAAAGAACCCTTTTGTGTTGGATGTCGAGCCAAGCTTCAGACGCGTGTTCCGGTCTTGATCCGCATAGCTTTGTCCCGATGCCATCAGATTGTCTACTAGTGTGCCATTATGATTTTGATAGAGGACTACATTCCTGGATATTATTCCGTAATCAACAGTAAAAACTATTTGAATCCAAGAATTGCGAGCCGCCAGTTCTCGGGCCGCGCCATGAGAGGTGACTGTCACTACAGCATCGCTAGCATAGGAAGAAATCTTAAATGACCAGCCATACTCGTACTCATCTGTTTGGCCATCAGCACTCAACCCCGAATCCAGGACCTTTAGATCTTTGTCGGCTCCAGTTTTAAAGAGAAATGACACTGTAAAATTCTGACAGAGAGATGGATTACTGATGCACGTACCAGCAAAGTCACCAAGGTCAACTTCTTCTCCTGCAGGCACAAACAGAGCCTGTATTCCATCTTCCACCTGAGTTCTGACGCCTTTTGGGATTTTCTCGCTTTTGAAAGATTTGTTGGCTGCTTGGTCGTAACCATACAATGCCTGGTTAGTAAGTGGATAAAAAGGCCAGGAGTAATTAGCTGTTGAATGATGAAAACAATCTAGTCAGTGGGTCAGTCAATCTAGTCAGTCACTTATTTCAGTTCAGTAACATTTTTCTTTTAATGCCCCCTGTTAGAACTGTTAGAGGGTCTCTTTAGGCCAGCTAGAATACTTGACACTTTAAGAAGCGTCGTTTTTCGCTATGGAACTTGACAAATCACTTGTGAATGACAAGATCAAACTAAAAGGCAACAAAAATTACCTTTCAAAAACGAAAAGCTAACAAGTTTTCAAAAAACACAATTGTAATCCCTTTCAATCTTCTTCAAGTCTGTGCATGCTTCCGACTCCATCTATATTTGCTGTCCTAATTATACCTTGTTTTCAATGTTTAAAAAGCAGTTATTTTTTCTGATGTTGCACTCAGGTTGGCGGCTGTTGCGGGTTCCCTCAGAGGTATGGGGTCTCTATGACAAAGATGATTTCACCAACTGGGAAAAAGATTATTGAAAAAACACAGATCCTCCTTTGTAAACAAACAATGCCCAAACGATGAACTCGGAAGGTTATCTTTGAAGTTAACCATAGATATTAATATTTTAAAATTTTGGATCCATTTACAAAACCTGCCAGACGATAATATTGCAAGGCAGTGTTTACATCTTTCAAAGGATGTGGCTGAGAAAAATCAGCCAGGCATATCACAAATAAAGATTAAAACATTATGTGACGAATATAGTTTACGCTCTAATCTCCAGTGTCGCTCAAAATCTGTCCAAAGCTTTAATCAACCACCGACTCTTAATTCAGGAAACTTATTTTTACAATACTTTCAAAACAGATACCAACAGAACCGAATTTCTAGATGAAATTAGAAAATCCTCTCCTTAATAGATCTGCTATTAATATTTCGACTGGTAAGTCATCGACTTCGTATCGAAACAGGGAGATACACTGTACCCAAGACTCCCGAATATCTAAGAATCTGTTCCTTATGTCAAGCCAATGAAGCCGGTTGAAAATGAATGTCACGTTATGTTTTCTTGCACTCTGTATGATACGCTTCGCAACAAATTTTTTGATGAAATCATTACCAAATATAACTTTTTTAATGATTTAGATGTTAAATCAAAACTTTTGTTCCTTTTTAACAATATTGATCCATTTATTTGTAAATCAGTTGCTGCTTTTATTTTTGAGATTATAAATGGTAGACACGATCATGTAATTTCAAAGTGACTTATCCAATTAATTACAATTATTTACTTTTTTAAGAGAATAGGTAATGCAAGGTATGTACATGGGAATACCTTTATAAACTGTTGTTGTTGTTGAGACGAACCATACAATATCACGAGCCTTCAAAACCTTTTCATAATGAGAGACATTGTAAATAGAGGTTTCGCTGTACGCAATCCTTACGTTAAAAATATGCCATAATCATATTTATCTATCGCAAGAACCACCCATTCCCCGTCATCTGCTAACTGTACGCCTAACAAGCATATCGAACCCACTCTCCTAAGCTCCGACTCCGATACTCCTAGTGTAAGCCATAAAGGTTTGTGCCGCCTCAAAGGGTATGATTTGTACGCCGTTTTGGTCTGAAAACGAGTATAGACTTCGCCCATTTTGGTCTAGAATCAGGTATGGTTTTCGAGGAAACTTCATGAACGTCCCGGGGGGTACTCCCATACATTACCTATACGGGTATATGCCGACCAACGGGGTCATGATTTTGAAGCTCCTGATTTAGAACGGGGTATCCATTTCAGAGGCGTTTTCTAGAACGGGGTATAAAAAATTGTGGATCACGGCTTTATCTTCTGCTTAAAATTGCTGCTGATTATGAAGAAGCATTTATTTGCTGTATTATTCGAACAAATAAAGAAATATCTTTTTAAAAAAACAGGGCTATTTCAATTTACAAACTTTCTAGAACGGAGTATAAAAAATTGGCCCATTTCTAGAACGGGGTTTCAGTTTGAGGGCGAATTTTAGAATGGGGTATAAAAAATTGGCCCATTTCTAGAACGGGGTATCAATTTTAGGGGAATTTTTTTAGAACGGGGTGCTAATTTGGAGTCCCGGGCGGCACATACCCACCCAAAAAATACCCAAGTGCCCCCCCGGGATGAACGTCTTTATCGTTTCAGTTCCAAATGAATAAAATACGCGAGTTCGGAGTGGATTTTAAGACCTGTTTTTTGTCGACGTTCTAATCTAAGTAATTATGACATTTTCTTAGAGGCCAGGTCTGAAAACGGGTGTGTAAAAGTGACAATTTTGAATCGCGGTCAGGATTTGGAGAACTGTTCGGTACACCCCCACCAATATGAATTCCAAGGAGTACTCCACCCCAGGAAAATACCAAATACGTCAGTGATTATTAAATGAAATA